CTCCCTCAAGCCAAATTCAATTGAAAATCCTTGCCATGCCAGATATGTGCGCATGTGCGCTTCATAATTACAGCAGCTGCGTCAAGCGGGAATGGAAGCGGAAGTCAGAACTGCCCTTCAAATTAAAACCAGCCACTATAAATGGAATTTTAAAAGAGAAAAATAATAAATTCAGCAAAACACAGCTTTGCCAGAATAAGAAGAGATAATATTATTTGAATCAGAAGATATTATGATTTCAAAATCATTTTTAAATATCGTTTTTGTTTTTTTAGGCTTAAAATGAACCCTTACACTTTAGAATTGAACATGTAATAACAAAAAAATCAACACTGGTGCAGATCTATCCTGCAGTGCTGAATCAGTCCAAGGTTTGTTCATGGACAATCAAATGAACTTAAGTTAGTTAACGCATCTGCGTATTGGTGAAACGTCATTTACAGTGAGAAACCAAAAGGTTACCATTCCAGGAAAAAGAGTTTCTGAAGAACAAGAAACAAAAGCATCAAAACACCGGAAATGATGCTTTTTTTCTCTTTTGTTGCATTTTGTGGACCTTCTTGGTTTATAAATAGGAAAAGAAATGTGCAAATAAAAGCTTATAAAAACCATTTGATTCATATTTGACATTTTACCTTGTACAGTGGAGCCGGAAGTACTCTCCTGGCATCAGCTGTGACTTGACGCAGGCTGCTGGGGCGCCAGGCAGCAGCAGTAGCTGTCCCGTCATCAGCTCACACCCAACGGGGCTGCAGCGCACCGCTCCTCCGGCGTGAACATCATGACACCCGGATTCAAAACCGCAATCTGAGCCGCACTGAGGAAATCGGCGGAGGACTGTTAGCAACGGACGTGGATACCCACACACACACACACACACACATACAAACACACACACTCATGCACATATACATACACGTTAACACACACAGGATCGCTAACATTGCAGCGGCCACCAGCAGCACAGCGCAGACTGGAGCTGTGACCGAGGCGAACTCCACCGCTCCGTGGAATTGCTCTCTTCGCCCCAGAGACGCGTCCCGCTCGGACCCCTGCTAAAGAAATCCCTCCCCGCGAGTCGTTTCACGCCAAAAATGTCTTCTTCGGGCAAGGACGCCAACAGCGGGCATTACGCCAACTATGTGGGACCGTACCGCCTGGAGAAGACGCTGGGCAAAGGACAGACAGGTTAGTGAAAGCTCCCACATCACGCGTGGGTGCCGTGAGGACCGCGCTCGGCGTCACCGCACCTGCCCCGCTGACATCATGCCGGGTGATGCAGTTTTGCGTCCTGCGTGTCCCGAATGCGGGGAATGGGAGGAAACGTGTGCTAGTTGCGGATGTTTCTGGTGGATGCGGGGAGATGGTGGTCATAACGGTGGTGGTGATTGTGGTGTTGGTGGCGGTGCGCCTTTAATCCTTGTTGTCAGGCAGAGAGGGCTGATGATGATGATGATGATGGGCCGCTGTGATTTTTCTTGTCTCTAATTCCGCTCCAGCATCCATCTGTCACATGGGCCCGCTGTGCTGAGGCTGCTCTCTGCAGGAGAGGCAGAGCGGTGATGCTGCACTGTCCGGTGCCTGCTCTCTCTCCCGCACTCTCTCTCTGTCACACACACACATGCCGCAGCTGCAACGCAACACATCCCTGCATTCGCTGGTGCAGCGGACGTATCATCGGCTTATTGCACAGACTGACTCTGTACATACAATGTGTTCAGTATGGAGAACAGCAGTGGGTGCAAATATCATTTTCAGCTGCACGTATGAGTCATTTTGG